AAGTTAGAAAGTTAGAAATATAACTGAGAGTAGTGACAAAAAGTGAAAACTAAATCAGTCTACTGATTTCTGTTCAGTTAACTCTGTGTATGGTTGTGGCTTTGGTGTTTTTTTTCCCATGATAGGTGCATGGAGCTTCTCTTGACTCTATGTATATGATTGGAGTTAGTCTTGGGGCTCATGTAGCTGGTTTTGTTGGCCAGAAGTATAATGGCAAACTTGGAAGAATTACAGGTAAGTTTTTTTAATCCCAAGACACATATTCTATTGTACCTTATGTTGCCATACCTGCAAATCACAGGGGTGCTAGCACTGAAATACTGACAAATTAGAACTGACTATTTAATAACATACATGAGGAGAAACACATCCCTGGCAGAAGTTCAGGAAATTGTGAAAGTCTGCCTTCAGGACATAAATTACAGATAAAATTTTCCAACCTGTTTCCCTCTAGTCTCTCAAATCAAAAAATTGAGTGCTGCATCTAAATGCCACTTAAGTGAAATGCTGTGCTACCTGAGTTTCTGAATAGTTGTGTTCTGGTGGTGAGAGCAGTTATACTGTGCATTTCATTTTTATGAAGGCCGTAATAGGTATGGTATTTTCTGGGGAAAACGACGAAATTAATTGTCCTGATTTGAATCCTCATGCTGTTGGTTTATGTTAATCTGGATAAATGGGAGATGAGCACAACTAATGAGGAAGAGAGAGAAATTAACAGATATGGGTTGATCAGTCTTGTCATAGAAACCTTTGCTTAGCTTAGCAAGTTGAAGAGCAGAACTGTGCTGGGTTTTATTTTCATTTTTATGCCAGGAAAATGAAGTCATTGATGAATAGTGCTCAGATGTTAGTATTTTATATATCTGTACAGGAACTAAGGCCAAGATTTACAATGTTAGTGTTGTTTTCATTTAGGTCTTGATCCAGCGGGACCTTCATTCACGCACGAGCCACCAGATGGGAGATTGGATCGTTCTGATGCACAGTTTGTTGATGTAATTCATTCAGATACTGATGGTAATGACACAGCCCTAACTTTCCTTTTCCAGCTTGAAGAAAGAGAGGAAAGCAAAAGAGAAGGGATAAGCTATTTCAGTAACACCCAAAAAGTGCTGCAGAAGTGTGTTTTGTGTTACCGTTCACATTCTTTTGCTGTTCTAATGTGTGTGAACACAGAGGCTGTAAGCACGTGATTATCACTGAATTAATCACTTCTGAGACAGCCAGTCTCAGCTGTGTCACGTTAGTACGCTGCAGAGCCACTGCTCAAAATCCTAAATCATGTTACTGTAAGGTTAAAGTGAAGAACATTGTAAAGTCTGCTTTATCCATGTTTTAATCTGGTTTAATTTTTTCCTCAAAACCATAAGTAAACCGTTCAAACCTACCGCACTTGTCGCATTATTTGAGTAGTTTCATATCAGTTTCTTTAATAATATTAAAAATTAAGCATTTTACTATACAAATTTATATGTGAAGCTGTAAAAGACCATTTTTTTTGCAATGTTCTGATTTTGTAAATAAGGATAATTTATGGTAAAAATGAAGGTAGGCCAGATTGAATTAAATCTTACTCATAGAATCTTGCTTACTTTTATAGGACAGATAAAGATTTTTTTACTTTGATATACTACTTGTATGAGATTAATTCAGAATCCAACATGCAAAAAATACAAAATCTTACTCTAATGAAAGTTGCATTGTGAAAGAATTTTGGTTGCTGGACAGAACATGAATTTCATGAATTTCTTTGTGTAAATAATGTTTCTGCTACAGCTGCTTCTGTTCTTTCCCTTTTATGGCAGTAGGAATCTTACACAAATTTGTATACATTTGTGTATAGCATTTTTACTTATGTATAATTTTTCTTAAAAAGAAAAAAATCTTTGGATTTTAACTCATAATATGCCTTTGATTTACAGAAATAAAGAATGCTATAATCACAAAAATTTTCTTTAAGGCTTCCATGTTACTTTGTAGTAAATGTGATGACAATTAATTGACTTCGTAATTCTGCTTATAGTTTTTTGATTCATGATGTTTTTGCTCTAGCCCTAGGTTTCAAGAAACCTTTAGGAACCATTGATTTCTATCCAAATGGAGGAACAGATCAGCCTGGTTGTCCAAACACAGTTTTCAGCGGTAAATAAAAATGTGTTTAATTAATGAGAAGCGCTTGAGATGAAATCAAAAAAGGTTCAATTGAATTGAATGTACGTTGCACATATTGGGAAATAAAGGAGCTGAGACCATTGCAATCTTTCTTATCATCCCAACTTAGCAAATGAGAAATAACAAAGATATTTTCCTTTTTTTTTTGAAATATGAATCTTCCTATAGGCATACATATTCCACCATATCATTAATGTGGGTATGGTGGAATTATTATATTATATACACACTCTGCATGTAGTGATCTTTATATTTCTGTGGTTATATATAGGCTAGGCATGGGGGAACATGTTTGTGGCCAAGTTTGGACGGGATCACTTGCATATGACATGGAAGGCAAAGTTTGCAAGTCTTCACTCTGTCTTAGGTTCCTCCTGGTCAGCAGTGATGACCTAGGCTTTGGACAGGTCCTTTAGGTTCTAGGATGGGAAGTGTTCAAAGAAAAGACCTTTAGCTCCAGAATTTTGCTCATTTCAACCTCCATAAATCTTAGGCAAGGTTGCTGCCCATTGTTTTTGTTTATTCTTTTGTTTGTTTCTGTATGTTTGTTTCTGTATCTGATTCTTATTACTAATCCTCACGGTGCTGCTACCAATTAGAACAGCTGCAAAGGGACAGGGCTTCCCCTTGTGTGTCTGCATGCATGGGAGAATCCCTTAAGACTCAGCATCTTCTTCATCTGTATAATTTTCACAGTTTGTTTTGTTAGGAGAGAAAGGAATTTATTACCCCAGACAACTAGGGAGAAGATTCCCTGATGTGTTCCTCATGGTAATTTTTTTTGCCAAAACTGTCTGCACTGAATGCAACAAGGCAAATTGTAACTCAGAGTCATGCTTTATAACAAAAAAACTCTGTAAATTTGATAGGATTTAGCAGACTATTTCTTACAAATAAAACCCTGCAGACTTTTATCAGTGTCTATAATATTCAAAATAGTCTCCAGTTTCTTCTTCTTGTGAGCGCATCCCCTCTTTACACTTGGTGTTCAACTAACCAGGGAATAAAAGCATGGCTAACTCAGAATGACTCAGGGAAATGGGATTACTTGAGTAGGAGAGGTGAGTGGCAACAGCGGTGGTAGCTACAGTAAATTCTGGGTGGGTTGAGAACCCGTCAGGCTGAGCAGGGGATTCCTGGAGTCAGAGAAACCCAAATAACAGCTGAGAGACCTTTCAGGAACTGGCCAGGTTCCAGCAGCTCTCACAAGCTGCACTGGTGGTAAAAGGGGCTTTCAGACTGAAAGGGGGAAAGGTTTAGATTAGATATTAGGAAGAAATTCTTCGCTGTGGGGGTGATGATGCACTGGCACAGGTTCGCCAGAGAAGCTGTGGATGTCCCATCCCTGGAAGTGTCCAAGGCCAGGTTGGATGGGGCTTTGAGCAACCTGGTCTAGTGGAAGGTGTTCCTGCTCAAGGCAGGGAGGTTGGAATGAGATAATTTTTAAGGGCCCTTGCAACACAAACCATTCTATGATTCTACTTTTATAGCACTTTTTCTTCATTAATAAAAGTGATTACATATTCATTTTTTTTCTTTCCTGAAGGAATTCAGTTTTTCAAGTGTGACCATCAAAGAGCTGTTTTCCTCTTCTTAGCATCTTTGAAAAGGAAGTGTGACATAATAACATATCCTTGTGAGTCTTACTCGGATTACAAGAGAGGAAAATGTGTTGATTGTGATGCTTTCCAGCCGATGTCCTGTCCAGTACTGGGTAAGTGTTAAAATATTTGCTCTGGGCTGGATGAGATTTTGTGGGAAATCCAGACTCGCTCTTCCTGGGGCTATTCCAGTGATCTGTAGGATCATGTAGAGCCTGATCACATCCCAAGCTACCAGTAGTTAAAGTAATTTAAAGTTCATGGCTGTGTCTATTTTATAGTTACCTCTGTTAGGCACAGGTGCTGAATGTTCCTAATCTTTGATCATTATGCTTTCCAGACTGAAATGGGTTCACAGATTTTCACCCTCTCTACAGAGAGACTGCCTCTACTTAGTTCATCACTTCAGGCTTCCAGAGTGTATTATGACCCCTAGAGTACCTGAGGGTTTTGTTTAGGAATAATGATGTTTATAGCAACCTTAGGGATCCTGTGACTCTTTGGAATCAAGTTTTGATTTGGAATGGGTTTTAGTTGTTTGGGGCTTTATTGCTCTTAGAGAGGATCTGGGGATAGTTTGAAAAGATCTACAATAGTGTGAGCATTTTCTAGTTGGCAGGGTTTTCTTAAGAATGAAATTTCAAAAATGCTTAATTAGAAGTTAGCTTTCAGTTTGTAATTTGTCTCTTTTTAACATCCTTACACTAGGATATGCACCCTACGTTAGTTGGATCAGGTTCAAAGAAAAAACATAAATGGATCTATTCATAATACTATTACATAACTATTTCATAATAAAACATATCCATAGCAGGACCTCATAGTAGGGAGAAAATAAAGGAAAGCTGTTCTGTATCTGATCTCTGCAAATATGTGGGCTACTTTTTTTGGATTTTTTTTTTTATTAGCTCTGTAAGCATTATTTTTTAGAATAAGGACTCTATAATAAATAGATAAGTATTATAAAATGACAATGCTAGTGATTCTAATATATTAGAGGAATGAAATACTTGCATAATACATTCTGTTATACTCGGGTGGTTCCTGTATTTTCCAAGCCAATTTTCTTTCTCAGAGAATATATAAGAAAATTGAAGCCAAATTTTTCACTTTGGATTAGATTCTTTTTTTGCAATTATACATGCATCATGATTTTGCTAAATGAAATATTTAATCTTTGGATTTCAGGTTATCATGCTGATAGATGGAAGAAATGGTTAATAGCAAAAAATTCACCAACGAGAGCTTATTTTGATACCTCGGACCAAGACCCATTCTGCAGTGAGTGACTGAATACACACATATAAAACTCTTTACAAAAAGTTATGGGTGTTGTTTTTTAGGTGATCTGGAGTGAAAGTGCGTTAGAAGTAGAAAGTTAGTGTGTTAACTACTTTGGAAAATGGTGTAAAAAAACCATTAGCTAAGGGGCAGCTCACAGACTGGAGGAAAAAGAGAAAGGATGATTGTAGCAGAAGAGTAAGTAGCCCTATATGAACGGAGAAATGTGACTTTAAAAGTAATGGGATGGACTGCCAAGAGGAAGAACAAAGCCAGAAAATGGGACTCAAGTGACAGGCGGTCTGAGAGAACCTGCTTAGGTGAGATCAATGCTGCCGTTTTCAGAGAGCAGAAATGGGAAGCAAGACTGCCCTGGGTGAGGGTTAAAAAAGGGACCCCTCTGTGTTCTACATGGAGAGAGCATCACCCTACAGTCAACTAAAGGTACTCTACAGCTCCCCAGAAGTAAAACAGTGGAGGGAAAACTTAGCTGGTGGCTTCAGGGTTATACTCTGTGGGAAAGAACTCTCCAGGTGTGGGCTTTAGCTGCAACAGTTTAGACATCTACCTATCCACATAGAGGTCCAGTTTAGATTCTCGTCCAATTTCTGTTTGTATTAAAAGACTTTACCACCATAAGCAAGTGTTAGCACACACTTCTAATTGGTTATGCTGAAGGTTTTTTGATTTGGGGCACGGGGATAGGCTTACAAGGAATTAATGTGAAATTAGGTTTTTCCATTAGCTTTTTCCATCATCTTGACAAGTTTTGTGGTGAGGGACACACAGTGTTATTCATTCTTATTTATGTCACTGTTTTTTCCAAAGGAGAGAGCAGAGGTGAATGAAGATATGATGGATTTTATATAAAATTTTTTACATAAAATTTATGTAAAATAACTCCTATTCTGTGTGTCTTTCAGCTCAACCCAAACCTGCTACTACTGTTCTCCCCTGCTCCTGTCTGCTTGGGCTTTGCTCTCAAGGCTGCCCAGGCTGCTAGGTCTGGCTCCTCATTCATTCTACCAGCTGAAAAACACAGCTTTGCTTTCACTCTTACACATATTAAAAGTTGGGCATTCATCAGAAATCCTGGTGGGGGAAAGAAAGAGTATATTGCTAAAGGAAAAGAAATATTCTGGGGTGAAGGTGGTAGAAGAGAGAAAAGAGGAGAGAAATATTATCAGACATAGGAGGAGACCCATGGAACAGAATGAGAAATATTGTAATGACAGCATAAATATAAGGGAAAATATGCAAAGTCAAGAAGTAAAATTATTCTACTACACCAGTCTGAAAAAGAGAGTATTGATTAACTAAATCCTAAGAATTACCTTAGATATTAGGAAACCTGAGGAAATAGAATAAACAAGAGGTCTTAAAAATGAGAGAAACAGTAAGCCTGAGCAGGACAAGCTTTTCATACGATGTGAGGCTTGGTCTTTTAGGAGAGAATGTTAAAAAACAACATGCCAAAAAAAAAAAAATTGTGTGTACTGTGGGAGCAGTAAAGGTGTGTTTCCTCTGGACAGTCACAGCACAGTTACAGTTTTTTTGATGTTTACAGAGGTGTGGCAGAAGGCCAGGACAGGTCTCTGAGGGCACACTGGAGCAGGTCAGCTCCTGCCCAGGTACCCAGCCTGTTTTCCTGAGGCTGTGGTCCTTCCAGAGTGGGGGGATCTAGGGATGGAGCGTAAGAAAGCTCTTGTCTTCCTCAGGCTTCCCCAGGATTTTGTCTAGAATCCACACAGAGGTTTTGGCAGGTTGACTTCTCTGAGGGAAGGCTGTTTGGAGGAGCTGTCCTGCCAAGCAAGGCAGGGGAATGCTTTCAGCTTTTACCTCCTGAATAATCAGCTCACCCAAGTAACTGCCCACTTTGATCATACATAAAGCTCCTGCCAATGCAGAAATAATATCCCCTCTTTGCCAAAACCTGAAGGTGCTAGTTAGGGCTTGATTTTGTAGCTTTTCCATAGGCAGGTCAAACTCTTCATGGTAATTTTGGTGATAGCTTTCTGATGCACATCCTGTCCATGCAAGAACTGGAGGAAAAAATACATTAATTATACAGAAATAATTTCTGTCAGTAGTCTTCTTATTCTCCTTTGAACTGGTAGGTTAAAAGTAAAGAGTCACTATTCCTAGCATCATCCAGTGAATGCTTTTAACAGGGTGATAATCACAACTGTATCCTGTTGAGATAATTCTTTGATTTTCATGATTTTCTATTTCTTTTTGCAGTGTACAACTACTTACTGGACATTACTACCTGGAATAAAAGCAACAGGAGAGGTTTCATTAAAGTTAAAATAACAGACCATGCTGGAAACACAGTAGAATCAGAGATGAATAGGTATGTTGTGCTTTGTCTTTAAAACTT